ATAGAACGCCACTTTCACATGTAATAAAATTTGTGCTTCGGTCTAGCTGCAAACCCATTGGGTTTTGTTGTTTGCGCAGAATTTTCTAATATTTGTTTCAACACATCGAGTTAACCCGATTTACCATCATAAGTTCTTATTCTCCGTTTTCATTGCATTGTGTTCAACTACTACTGTTACTGCTATGGTGATGTTTTATTCCCTAAGCAAGCAAGTTTATTTCGTCATCTGCTCTGAAATGCTAAGTGATATCAGCACATGAACTTAGCCAACAATCTAAATTCTTTTCTTTGATTTCAACTCTGTTCCGAATTTCTCGCTGATTGGTTCCAAAATTTGAAGATGTACTTTCTGTTACAAAACAATGTGATTTATTCTGCTGTACTTCGGTGTATCACCAAGGTCAATTGTCACATTTGCAAAAAAAAATGGTTCGCATCTCGCAAGCAGTGACGCGCGCTTACGCGAGGTACATGCTTGCTTTTTAAAGATGGTTGCTGATCTAGAGTTACAATAAATAGAGCAAAGGATTAGGGAAAAAAGAAGAACTGAAATGTGACATCCGCGGTATTTACTTTACCCAGGCTATCTTAGAGATATTAGGAAGTGCACGGATACATATGATTCTACACCAGCGTTCATATTCTTAGCCTTCTGTCATACTCTTGCAAGCATGAGAGTGAAGGAGGTAATCTGTCAACATCAGTAACTGACCAATCGACAGCTATATGACATGCAAGATTTCATTAGGCTTTCCACTGCATCCCTGAGCTGGCAATACGGTTTTCGTACTTTGATCTCTTTTTCAGTTTTGTATGAATCTGTGGGTGAACTTGTATTTGTAATTTTATGCATATTTACTCACATTCAGTCGTTCAACTGATGTGAGTTGAAATAATAACCAATCTGAACTGTGCTATTGAAAAGTTATTCAAATTCTTCATTTCTAGAATCTTACTTTCTAAACTTGATTTCTTAGATTTTCTTACATTGTTCCGAGGATACAG